GGAGCAGGGACGGGCGGAGGCCACCCCAACGCCCGGCGGATGGCTTTCGCCAACAAGAGGCAGAACACCATCGAACAGCTGCACTTCATCCCCGGAGGAGGAGGAGGAGGAGGCGTGCAGGGACTGCGGACTGGGAGTAAGAACGAGGTGACAGTGTGAGAGGAAGAGGGAGGTAAAGAGAGGAAGATTAAGAGTAGAGAGGTGAAGGCTGACGCTTGTAGAGAAGCTGGAGAGACAGACAGCAGAAAAGAGAGGTGGCGAGGCATTTAGTGAGGAAGATGAAGTGGAGAGATGAGCAGGAAGAGGCGAGATAACTAAAAGAGATGAAGAGGTTTGATCTCAGCTGGCTGCCTCACAGGGTGACACTCTGCCCCCCCTCCCCTTCATTAAACAGAAAGTGGTGGAAGACAACACTAATCTCGTACTGAGTATAGCCAATTGATTTTCTCCCTGTCACTTTGTGTATTGAGAAAGAATATTCAGCCATTCTTTGTAAAGGAAATACAGAAATGTCCACTTAAAAAGAGCAACAAAAAAAAGAAAACGATTGGAGTGCAGCTTAAAGGCTGCTGGGTATCCGCTGTGACTTTTATTGAAGGATACCTGCTGAGTCAAATCTGTTGAATTGTCCTTGAGTTTCATTGCACTGTCCTCTGAGTCCTCAGGAGCTCTGACAGATTCATCTGTCTTTAAATCCACTGCGGAGGACGGAGAGCGCTGAGGACGGAGACAGACCGGTTTGCTTGTCTTTGTATTTATAAAAAAGTATTTAAAAACCAAACGAGTTGCTTTTGTATGAAATTAACCTGATGACGATAATAGTATTAACATTACTGAGCCCTGTAAGACTTTGTGTATATTTAGTTTAACAACATATTTAACCTTCAGCCGGACGGTTTGTAACTGAAAGGCCGGGACACGTTTCTTTCTCTAGCTGTGATTGGACTGTAATGAAAGTAACACTCTCTGTAGACAAGTAGCTGTCACTCGATTGCCTTTAAGGCTCGATTTACTCTAGATAAAGATAAAATATAAACCTAACGTCAACACAAACCGCTGCTATAAAGGCCCAGTCACACCAAAATCTGAATAATTTCAACATAAATGCTGCAGTCCTTCCATTTGTTTACGGAGGAGGGGGGGGGGCTCTGGCGGACTGTGACGAGAGAGTTTGAGCTCAGCCGAACGGAGGAAGCCATTGTTGCTTATTAGCTTCGTGTTGCACCAATCACTTTTATCGTACGTCCTCTGTCGGAGTGGAAACCGCTCCACCAAAGGAGCCGACGGTACGCATACGCCTTTTTGAACTGTTTCAACTTTAAATCGTCCGGTTTCGCTGTCAGCTCGTTCAGAAACCTTTTTATTTTCTCTCCCTCTTTCTCTCTTTCCAGACTGACTGAGTGGAGACGACAGAGCAGTACACAGAAAACAGGAAGGAGCTAGGGCAGCTATTACGACTGACTCGCTGCTTTGCTAGAGTGTTAGCTACAGTAGTTCAACTATACAAGCTTCTTACGTTGCAAAAGACAGTGCAAGATTAATTTCCGCTGTGCCACTTTCTGGAGTGACCGGGCCTTCAAAGTCAAATCCACTCTGCAGTATGATTTCAGCTAACTTAAAGCCTTTGTACAGTGAACTCTAGTGGGTGTATATCATCTATGAAACATTGTGCTGTGACCCTTTTTGCGTAATAATTTGTAAAAAATAATAATGTTTTGGAATTAGACCGCTCACAAAGAAGCACCAACCTCACGCAAACATTTTTTTATTATCGACCCTGACTGACCAAACATCCCTCAGCCACTGTTAGAAACTTCTCATTGTGAGTTTGCGGAGAGTCGACGGGGGGTTTTTACGTTCAGCAGACCCCTCCCGTTCTTCTACGACGCCACACGTTACCTGCAAGTTCAGCTGCTCACCTCATATGAAGGGAAAAGGGGGGGGGGCAGATAGGTTTCGAGGCAAAGGGGGACAACGGACACTTCACACCAAGGGCTATACTGAATTATCTTTGTGTGTCTGTGCTCTGTACAGTGTCTGCTTCTCATTGCTCGTGTTCACCGAGTTTTTATTATTTTTGTGTGGAGAGAGGAAAAATATATAAACATGCAAAGGAACTTCTGTGCCAACATGTACAAACACACGACCATGGTTACTTTTTTTTTTGTTTTCTTTAATTGTCGTGGGAGGAAAACAGGTGGTCATGATGATGTCACATTTTGTACACTTTGTTTTGGTTTCTGTTTGTTTTTCTGGCTGTGAGACGGACCTTCTGGCCTTTACAGGGCTGGATCTCCTCATTTGTGGGGGTTTAAGGGACTCGCGAGGCCTCGTTGGAGGTCTTCAGCGTCCCCTCGGAGTTGCATTTCGATAAAGACAGACACGATTGATGACCGAGCGACGCTTCCTGCTGGCCATTTTTAAGTCTTTTACTACGATACATTAATGGTTTATGATTCCCCCCCTTTTGATCAGACTATGAACTCTCTTTATCATGAATCGACTATTTGTTTTTGTTCCCTTTTTTTGTTTTGTTTTTTTGGGGGGGGGGTCTTTTACTTAAACATGTATTTATTTTTTTAAATCTCTGTGAATTTTAATGTATAATCCTGGATTTTCAATATTCAAACTTTCTAGTGGAATTTAAAAAAAAACAACAAAAAAAAAGACGAAAGAAAAACGAAAAAGAGTCGATGCAATCAAAAGAGAAGACGAATAAAACGCATGACAGAAGCCAGTGTCGATGAGTTCATAGTGCTGACTCATGATGTCACGCGGAGTGTTTGTGTGTGTGGTGTTGTGTGTGTGTGTGTGTAAATGTACATGCGTCTGTTTTCATTGGTGTGTGTGTAACTCTGTCGGTGTCGTCTTCTTCTTATTCTTCTTCGATTGCGGAAACCTCATCTTCGACCAAACTTCCGGAGGTCGTTGGGGTCGCGTCTTCAGCACACGGGAGCCGATTTTTATTTAAAAAAAAATCGCCACGTTGTTCATATCAACTCTGAGACTGAAACAGCCTGTCGTGTTTAATTTAAAAAAAAGAACAAAGGGAGAGAGAGAGAGACGTTGATCAATCACAGCTTTTCCTGTCGAGCTACGTTCACCAAAAGCGAGGACTTTTCCAAACATTTTGAAAAATGTAAATTCTTGAAGCTTTACGCCGTGTCGGCGTTTTTTGGTATTCGGTCATTCACGACGTCCTGAGATCCCGCGACGCCGCCTCGGTCGACGAGCTCAGCGCCGCCGCCCTTTCTGACTCGAATACGTATCTGCAAAAGTCGACTCTTGTTTCCACAAAACCAGTCTGCTCATTCGTGCTCCATTTCGCCGGACGAGAAGTTCCGAAGGTACCGAGTGTCGAGAGCGTTTTTAAAGTCTTTAAAGCGACTGTTGTTTGTTGTTGAGCCGGTTGTGGAGGAGAATGTGTTGTGGCTGGAAAGGCTCTGTGGTTTTTACAATGAAAACATCTTTTAAAAGAGAAAACAACACAAAAAAAGGAAAAAGGCGCGGAGGCGAGGGAGGGGGTGAAATTAAATGACACGTTGTATTTTATAATGTCTCACTGTTCTCTCACACTTTTATTCAAACCCACGCGCGTCTGATACAGATGTTGTACATCCATTTTCAGTTAATTGCTCCCCCTGATAAAAGTGTGTGTGTGGTGTGTGTGTGTGTGTGTGTTAACCACTGGGGTACCTTCGAACTTCTCGT